CCCGCCGTTGCCCCCTCCCTGGGCAGCGAGAGTTGAGAGGGGCCAGGTGGCATCGATCTCAAACCACTGCCCCCCAGCCCCCAGCCCCGCAGGCAGGGAGGCAAAGTTCTCTGCGTCCCTCGGGGCGGTGCTGCCCGCGCCAGTCCCTGTCCTGGAGCCTGAGCGTGTGGCCCTGATGTGGGGATGAGTCACTGGCTGTGTGTGGGATGGAGCTCCCGGGCCAGCCTGGCCTCGGGGATGCACTCTCGCTGTCCGGCCTCCACTCTCCACTGGTGACTTCTCCGACCTTACATGGGGGACATGGGGGTGGATTATTTGGAGGACAGCTGTTCTTAGCAAGGCGGCCACCGTGGTGGTTTAGAATGGATGGTGGGCTTGACCTCCTTGTTCCTTCCAAATATTTTTATTCATGACTATTTGCTTGGTTGAAGTTGTCTTAAAAATTTGATTTGTGGCTAATGAGCCCCAGAAGGGAGAGGTCCTTTTCCTCCTGCACCTGTTTGCATCACGGCCCAGCTGCCCAGGCCCGGGGCTGCTTCCGGCCGCTGCTCCGAGCCTTACGCTGTCGTCACTGTGGCCGACCCTGCAGTCAGCCATGGGCACTTGGAGCAGGTGAGCCCTTGTGGGGATCCCAGGAGGAAGAGCAGGTTTTCCGAGACACATCCTGGGAAGGTTGTGAGGACATCAGTGTCTCTGTGTGGTGAGAGCTGTCCTGATCCAGTCACAGTGGTGGGGCAGTGTTGACCCCGGGGAACTCTCACCGTGCAGAGACCCTTCTTCCTCCTCTTTCCTCCTTTGCGTGGAACTTGGCCAAGCCGAGGTGCCAGAACAGAGTGCAGTGACCCCTTTCCATGGAGAGGGCAGGCAGGTGCGTCTGAGCCAGGCTGCTCTAACTCTTCTTAGTTGGGTGACACGGCGCAGCTGCTTAACCTCTCTGAGCCTTCGTGTCCTCTTTGTCAACATGGCTAAGTCAGCAGGCCCCATTTCATGGGGTTGTGATTCCTGAGGTAAGTAAGGCTTGTCCATGGGCAGGGGTTAGCATTGCTTCGGGCACATACTATGGGCTCAATAAATCTGATTTAGAACCAAAATTTATTCCATGAAGGTTCTCTGGTGTGGTGTTTGGTACTAGGGTGACTTCAGCCAGCATCTCCACATCAAATGCTTTCTGGAAGTTAAAATAAATGTATATATATGATGAAATTTATAAAGGTAGAAATCCCACTGAGCATTTTGGTTCACAAAGGGAAATGCGCACCCCGTTGCTGACGGATTCTGCATTCCCTGGACAGAGGCTGTCTTTGTTTCCTGAGCCTGAACATGGTCTTCTCTTTTTGGGGTGCTGGGGTCTTCATGGTCCTGTGGACTCTTACACAGACAGAATCTTGATTTTTGAGTTGAAGATTCCCCAAAGCCCTGTGCTGCCCACAGCACCTGTCAGAATCCGTTTTTGTTTCCATAGGGATGTTTTATGTAGAGCCCAGCACCGGTTTGGGGTTGGGG